ATTTATGAACATTGAATGCAAGGGAAATACCGCTGAAAACATATCAAAAAACGAACTATCTAGAGCTCCATAAAAGTTATTTTATTCAGTTTTATTCACTTTTCTCCAGTAAAAATCGCATCCAGGATAATCTGTCGGTTTGGGTCAACTTAATATGCATTTATCAATTTACTTGTTTTTGTGGAGCAATTTATATTGGTCGTACAAATACTTGGTCACTATCCTATTTGGATATCTAAAGAAGAGTGTAGATTGATCAACATCTCAACCTTCGAACAGATATCCAACTCTCGTCATATACCACCACGAGAATCATCTTTCAAGATCACCTACAAATTTAAAAGACTATCAAGTAGAAGGTTTGGATAATTAATTCATGCACAGCAGAACCTATAGCAAGTGATCATTTCAAACCTGACCTTCGTATACAAGAGTCATGTTTAACCTTTTATTCTTTCATGAAATTAGCACCTCTTCTAGTGTTATAAATGTCATTATTCCTCTTCTTCTACATTTGTCTTTTGTATTCACTTCATAAAATAGTATTTCTTTTCAACTCTGAAACTACTACATAACTTTATTTCTTGATCATTTTGCTAAATGATGTAACACCTATTTTACTTAATACTTTAAAATAATACCCTTTATTTAAATCTTGTAATCTGTTGATAATCTTGAATTTCCTATATTAAATTATCTGTAATCGCTTCATTTTCTCATAGACTTTTATATTCGATACTTGAATAAGTTTAATTATGTTTCTAATAATTTTGTAATACTTATTATGATTGTACAGCACAAAATAATGATACCATTCAAAAAGTAAATATTCCTTCTCTGAATTGGCTCAGCCCCCAAATGCTCTAGAACAGCCGAGGGTGGGGAGAGTCAGCTTTCTCTCTCGAAATGCTCTCACATGGCCACATGCATACAACCACTGCCTTCCTGCTGCTGGTATGTTGTTTACGAAATTGAGAGGACGAAAAGCGAATGTCTGGCACTTTAACCGGGTTGGTGGATATGGAGGATCCACATAGGGTAGTTGGAGAACCCTGATTCCAAACCAATGGTGCACATGGATTCCAGTATCCTGAGGGAACAGGAGGCGTATAAACCTATTGTCGGTCACCGGCTACCATGGGACTGCATCTCTTTACGTTGATTCACCGCCTTGTGGATGAGACCTTCAGATCGAAGGCCCCGGGTGTGGCACCCTAAGAAAACCACCTGATTCGGTCTGAGCATCCGGGCAGCATCACAGTTCACACACAAATCACTTGAAATGTATCTAATGCAAAAACCAGAAATCTAACAGTTAAGGTGTTTAAATCCAACTTACTTGTATATTGAACAATAAAGTATCTGTTACTGATGTACATCTACCGATATTGTTATATCATATAAACGTAGTTGGATAGTAGGATCAACAAGATGAACATTATTCATTATTAATATGTATATTGATCATAAAAAATAATTAGAACCTAAATCAAACCATTGTGTTCTAATACTCTGAAAATTGTAATATACACAATTTGTATAGTATAGTTTTGTCCAGAATAAACAGTATGTTAAATACAAACTATCATTCAGTTGGTTATAAACTCAAACGTTTCAAAACGTTACATATCTTCTTTTAAACTCTGATTTGTCCTGTTTATCATATGAAATCTATACATGTTTGACTATTATCACTTACTTTTACTGTTAAATGTTAAAATAAATGGTGTTGGGTAACTGAGCAGTCAGTAACAAATTAACAGTAGCTTAACACCTCTAAATGGTAAATCTTATTGTAGATGACAAAAAGATAATACACTATATCATCCCATGTTTAATATGAATGCTGAATTGTGCTCCTCTGGTTACTAGACCAAATATAAATAACACCAAGAAGCGAGTATAATTCGAATTAGATTAATTTACTCATTATGATTTTTATTCCACATTATTTCTGTTTAATTCAATTTGATGATCACTCAGTATGGTATTTGTTTCCTTTATCCTTATGACATTTTATTCTGTATAACATACGACATTCTTGTATAAACTGTTTTTCATAAATGTGATGTATTCTGATTATTAATCAAAAATGGGTGCATGAATCAATATATAGATGGGTGTATTTCCAACTCGACGGGTTGGGATCGCTCGTGTTTCTGGTTGCTTGAGGAACATATTTCACTGTTTCAAACTTGGACTTCTCTCTCCCTCTCTAGTTAGCGGGGCTGGGACGCATCAGAATAGCTAGCTTATTATTCTTTGGTCACAGAGTTTTTGTTTCCGTTCGCAGACTAGGTGAACTCGTAATCGCTCCAAACATAGCAGAAAAAAACTTACCTTTCCACAAAAATAATAAATTTATGACATAAACTAGATGTTAGCTACTGAACTATACCATAATCTCAACCCACTTAAACTCATAACAATATTATTCCAAGCTTAATTCATAGAAGTTGGTCGTTTAACAAACTGATCATTGAGTGGTTGAAAGAATTCACTATATACTTTATCCCTTGTATTAATGACTACAAGTTATTGGATAAATTTTTATCACATAGTGATCAATTTGAAGAAATATTAGTGATTAACTTCGAAATAGACTTTTCGAATACAGACTGAGAAGTAATGATTTATACAATTAAACAAGTTACGAGTGATATATCCACTCTTGGTAATACTACATGAAGGACTGTAGTACAATATAAAACAATGTCAGTGAAAAATATCGACCCACCTTAAAAGTCTGAATAATGACGAATGATTACCTCATCATCCAAGATACCGCCCCCCCCCGAGATTAGAACTCAGGATCTACCAGTCTCGCGCACGAACGCTCAACCTCTAGACCATTGAGCCGGCATCCGGTAGTGTTAATATCCAACTTTAAGTACACGAAATTGAGCGACACATCCACCACTGTCTTCAGTGAATTACTACCTCACAACTGATCTGGCTGAACTCTACTGATCACGGATTTCGCGTGAACTTTGCAATTATTGGTCAGTTGAAGCTCGACTCATAATCTCAACAATTGAAATAACTATAATATCCACAAAAATCCCTTCTGATACTAATCAGCATATGCTCACTAGTGACTGGTTTCAAGAGATATTTCCTGGAGTGCTAGTAAGAAGCAGTGAACAGTGGGGTTCAACCAGATATATTGAGAGATAGTAAATCACTGAAGACAATCTTGAATGTAACGCTCAATTGCGTGGATTAGTTGAAGTTAGAAATTAACACCATTGAATGCTGCCTCAGTGGTTCAGAAGTTAAGTGTCCGTGCGCGAGACTAATAGGTTCTAAGTTCGAATCTTGCGGGGGGAGGGCAGTATCTTGGATACACCCTGCTGAGGAGTCCCACAATAAGACGAAATGGTCGTCCAATGATTCTTGGTTTCCCATGATGGTCTATCTTCGATTGACTCACAGATCTCAACTATTGAAATCACTATAATATCCACAAAAACCCTTTTTTGATATTATTATATATTTATTAAACCGTTTGTCTAACGGTTTATTCTAATCATAAATACACTGTTCAACATTTACAATGATAGTTGAGTTTATTATTTTTTATCAAATTAACTAATTATATATATAATGTATTACAATATGTACAATTATAACTCTACTTGATTCTTCTTCTTCTCACTCTATTGTCTATCAAACTTATTCTTCCTCAGAAAGTTTCTTTTAATTAGATTAAGTAATAATAAGGATAGAGTAATTTCTAAGGCAAAAGTATTTCGAAAAAACAAAAGAAGAAAACACATCTATTTTCACATTGCCTGATAGATAAATGATTCAAATCATCATTGAATCTGTAAAACATAAAAGAAGATGAAAAAAAATAAATAAATAAACAATCGAGAAAAATAGAAAAGATAAAGATTTAAAAAAGAAAAGAAAAGGAGCGAATAATACAAAAGAAACAGAAGTGAGCAACAAACAATGAAAAGGAGGTCAAAAGTTAATGGATTTACATTGTACACCCTACTTCTTTTTTTCTTAATTATTGTTATTATCAATTGTTAGGCATATTGACAAGAACAATTCCATTACACAGAAAATGCATATCAAAGTAGAAAAAAAATGTAGGAAAACAATCAGAGAGAAAAATGCGATAGGGGGTGGAAAAGGATTGTGTGTGCGTGTGTGTATGTATGTATGTGCGAGAAAATAAATACAAAAAAAAGATAAACTATCTCACTGCTTTATTCAGTAGAAAATGAACAGTGAACTATGAAGTGAAATTCATGAAAACAAAGAATAAACATAACAGAAAGTACTAATAGAAAAGCATAGAGTTAATATGAGAATTTGACAGAGCATAATCTATACATAAATATAGATTATGCACTACTTAAGAGAAGGAGAATTGTGGAAAAGTTGAGATTGAAAGAGAACAACGACGATAACACTAACAAGACGTTAGTTAAAGAAAGGAAAAGAATGTATAACTGTCTGTATGGATTGTAATCATAACAAAGTACAATTTGTGCGTATGTATATGTTGTTTACATTACAATTGTGTTATAGAATGCATGAATGCAGATAATATCTGTGGAACAACAAGCTTGTTGATGCTTTGTTTTAATATTAGTAGTGTTAATAGTATTACTTTATAGAATTTTTTAAAAAAAAATGAGTGTTATGAAAAAATAACAGTAAAACAATGAGCAACATCTGAGTAATTGCACCCATAGCAATGAGCTTCGTTTTATAAGAATCACAATCAATAAAACGAGGAATAATCATTAGGAGAGAAAAATGGAAAACTGAGGTAAAAAAAAAATGATCCCTATTGTAATAACTATTGAAAGGAAGCAATAAAAAAGGTTCAGATTTTAATTGAGTAGCTTAATTATGAAGACTAGAGAAATATTATGAATAATTATAAATTAAGGCAAATCAAAATGAAATATTTGACAACAGATGTAAATCAATGAATAACTAAATAGTGTTTTGGTAGGAGGGCTAAGGATAGCTATAGATCATACACGTCCATCTCCACCATCATTAAACTTAGGAAGAGGTTTATTCATATTAGTATTAATTACAATAGATGGAACAAATGCTTGTAATTCTTCAGGTTTAGCTTTATTTAAATCTTCATAAGAGACATACAGTTTCGTCGGAGCTTTATTGTTATTACTGTTACTGGGAGTAGTAGTGGTAGTAGTAGAAGTAGTAGTATTGTTAAAACTGTCATTAGTATGATTACCGGTTGTACCGTTGTTATGATGATGAGGATTGTTTTTATCAGTCTTATTATTATTTATACTACCACTTCTGTCTCTACTATCATTAACTGTAGTATGAGGTTCAGTATAAGAGGCTGTACTAACTATATAAGTAGTACTATCTGGAATAGCATTTTCTACATTATTAATATTATTATTTATGGTTTTACGACTTGTCGTATTAATTACAGTTGATATGTCCGGAGTAGTACTATTAGTAGTATTAGTTGTACTAGTAGAGTATGTTGTCGCCGCTTTTATTGTACAATCTGAAGATGGTGAAGATGATATTGATTTAATACTAACATGATTATTGTTATTGTTGTTAATTGTAGAAGCATAAGCTTCAGCTAATGATGATTTTTGTAAACGATTCATATGATGATTCCATGCATTCTGAAACATATCATGACCATCATAAAAAATAGATGGATGTAATGAATCAATACAACCATTTGATGATTTAATTTCATGAAATTTTTCTGATAAATTTATTGGATATTTACCGGTAACATCAAGAGCTATTAAAGTAAATAAATAAGTACAAAAAAAAAGAGAACAAAAATAAATTGGACAATATTATTATGCGATGATGCTAATGAGAAAAAAATATGATGAAGATAAGTAAACGTTTTTATTCTTGTATGAAATTGAACATTCAATATGAACCATTGATAAATCCTATCAACTACTGAAAAGGATAATCGTAGGTTACTAGTGTTTGATCACAAGTATCTTCGAAGTATTGCTCGTATATCCTGGGACCATCAAGCAAGTAATGTAGTTGTTAAGAAACGGGTACTAGGTAAGGATGGTGTTATAACGCTCGGTTTTACTTCGTCTAATGTTATAACGTTGGTTTTCCACATTTATACGTATAGGACGTTAATTTACCTTTAACGATTATCTACATTAAATTCCCTCCCAATGTTTATTCTACAGGACTTCAACACAACTCAGATCAAGAACATGTGATTAGTCTGACGAGAAAGTAAATATACTCCCACATCAAAACCCGACACAATCGAACAACAATGAACAATCAATAAGAAGTGAGTAATAATAATAAGGATAGGGGAATATATAACTCATCTGACGCCTGTCAGACTATCTACATATCTGACTAAGCGTCATTTATGGCGTAGGCGAGATATCTGTCTACCAACCAAAGAACGGGTTTACTGGGCAGTAGTTCGTTCTGTCCTACTTTATGGCAGTGAAATATGATCGGTAAGACTAGAGGATATTCATAGGTTACTAGTATTCGATCATAGATATTTTCGAAGCATTGCTCGTATATCTTGGGACCATCGAGTAAGTAATGCAGTTGTTAGGAAACTGGTACTAGGTAAGGATGGCAAATCAATTGATGAAGTTTCACTATTTCATCAATTGAGATGGCTAGGACATGTGTTATGTATGCACAGTCACCAGCTGCCCCGACTTGCGATGTTTCATGGTGTAGGAGTAGGTTGGAAGAAAGCTAGGGGCGTCCAGAATAAAACACGACACAAATCCATGAAGTCATTGACAAGTGGACTGATCCATGTTGGTAGGTGTAAATTACCTGGTTGGGCCGATGGTCAGAGACCTTGAATGACATGGCCTAAAGTCGTTTGCAATGGAGCAGGTGCATCCACTCTTTGTGTTCTCACAAATTCTAATCTTCTGAATTCTTCACGTCCCTTTTTTCTCTTTCCAAATTTATACTCCTTATATAACATCTTCAAACTCTAATCTTTCCAACTACTGCTTATACGTTTATTACCTCTACCACTATGGGATTTGAATCGACAATTATATCTCTGTGCTTATGTGGTATGGCAACTCGAACTGATGTATGTACGTACGAAGTTCTACGTCGTTACTAATTGACTGACTGACTAAACATTGAACAAGAATTTCAAACTAATGCCAAAGTATATTTTACAGAGATGAATAAATCAGAATGAAGAAAACTAGTTGTGAACTGGAAAAATAAGCGATTTAAATCTTATATCATGGTGAATAAGTAATAAAAAAACCTTTGTCTAATGCTTAAAACATTTAAAATTGTTACGGAAAATTCTTTGCTTATCTTAAGATAAAATGATAATAATAAATATACTATACTAGTAACAAATATATCAGTTCCTCAATTCGTACATATCACTTTATTACATAATCATAGTGTAATAGATGAGTTGGTTGAGTAGAAACGTCGAAATAGATAACGACAGTTCTCTTAGATTTTTATCTTTAAAACTATTGAATGAATTCATCAGTAAAGATTTTGTAGGTGATGATCAATTTTCTGTCAAAAATTTTGTGACTATGCGACAGATTTGATGAGAAACTCTATCAGTAATGCACACACACACAGATTGAATAGTTTAAATTCTTCAAGATATTTAAGTGAGTATGGTTACTCAAGAAAGACCAATTGGTATCCAATAATTAACAGTGTCAAACTCAAGTTAATCTGTGATATCGCGCAATATTTATTCAATGATTCTGTGTTAGCCTCTGACGTGAATCACAACACAGATCATGGTCTTAGGGAAATACAACTCGATATCACTGGTTATTGATTACAAGAATATCATATAATGGAGCTGTTTGTTTAATTTTTCCTGGCCTTAAATAGTCCTCAAATTTAGATCCGTTTGTAATTTGAGTTACTTACAAGTTACATTGAATTTTATACTGTAATAAGCATTATGTTTTAATGTTGAAACCAACTAGTTAGAAAAATAAGTGTATATTCACTGAATATTTCACTAAAATCTGTATACACTTATTGGATAGGTAACTTTAGACGACTGGAAAAAACTCGGTGACAAGTGTTTTAGCTGAATTATTAAAATATATGTGTAAATTAAAAATGGAAGGAAGAAAATTTCTTCAAACAAAAGATGATCATCGATTTGTACAGGTTACAATCATTACACACACTCGGGTATCGTACAACAAACATCCTTTCGTGTCTATTAGCGATCAAGAGACTGTAATAACGATTAGCCTCAATTAATAACATTATTATCATTTTGTGATTAGTTAAACAAATTATACCGAATAACATATCACTTATGCAGTATCCATTGTTTACATATACATAGACATGTATGTGTGTGTATTCTCTGATATGTGTCATTCGTAGTCGATGCAGGGATTCTATCTCATTACAAAGTATCAAAAATGTACTCTCGACATCAGTCAAATAAATGAAAAAAAAGGATTATATACAGTTAAAAAGATGCATTGAATGAATACACACACAGACATCTTTTTCCCTTCGATAACAGCCCATAGTGTAGTTAAACAATTGTTGCTACGAATCATTAATACAATTGATCAACGATAATTGAGAAAATAACAACCGTAGAACATTCAAGATTCGGTTGAACGATAATTGAAATTTATGTCAATTTACAGATCGTGCTTGTCACAGACTGAGCGATATCAGGTGTTTAGTTGTGGTCAATGGGAAACTATCGATATAGGTTTTATGCTAGTTCATACTCATCAATAAAGCCTGTCTTTAATCTTCAAGGAGTTTGTACTCGTTATGGGATTTGAATTCTTTTCACTCAGCTTCACATTTTGAGAAGTTATCACTGAGCTACTCAGGCCCTCACTGACCGCCTGTAGGACTGAGATTTTAGCATTGACTGTCCGGTAAGTGATGATGAACGTTAAGTATGTTTAATTTTTTAGAAATGATAGAATTTCGTCAATCAAAGTGCCGCGAGATTGTAGATGAGCCTTGCTCACGAGTGTCAGTTAACATGAAATCTAGATCAATAGATTACTACCGATTATTGCCAAACATCTGACAACATGTGATGCTGAGTCACTTAGACTAGTAGTCACACTGGAACTTCATCAGTAGAATTCCGTCAGAACTAAAAAAACTAGATAAACATAGTATTAGTTACTATTCAGTGATCAGTGAGTTATGACTGATATCAGCTCGGCAACAAGAGAGCATTTAGTCAACAGCTGTTCTGTGTATTCCCAGAAACTGAAGTTTTAGCGAATAATTATGGAGTTCAGATATGTCAGAATTGAGGATAGTGACTTCTCTGAAATATCACTTGAATAGGATCACGTCATGTCACAAACTGACTGAAACAAAAAATATGTAGAATACTGTATACTGATTTAATGGTTTGAAACTACTGTACTCGTTGTAAAGAAAACCGAATGTCTTAGATTCGATTCTATGTAGGTGTTTGTAGTTGCCTGTTATTGAGGAGGTTCGAACTAAGGAACAAAAGACCATCACTAAAGTAAAATCAGTTTCATTGAGTTCACAAATACCATCTGATTGAAACTGGAATTCAGAAATTTCTTTCGGTTATCTTAAATCAATTCATAAACTTTGATTTAAATAATTTCATCTGCATTCTATTTATGTATAAAGACAGATAGAGTTAAGTATTTTATGGATAACTCTATAAATACATTTGTTATGTTACCATACATTTTTGCTATAATCGAGTTAGTAAAAATGATAGATTATATATATATATATATAAGAGATTTGTTTAACTTACGTGAACTAGCCCGTTGATGTAATACAGTTAATCGTCTAGCTAACAGATAATGTTCTGCTGATATTTTTAAATATTGTAAATTAGAACAAGCTTTTAAAGTATAATCAGGTAGAAATCGAGCTTCCGATGCTAAACGTGCTGATTGAATAGATGGATCCATATTTTCAGAAGGATTTGGAAATAATTCATTGACACCTATTTATTATTGAAAGAGAGAAAGAAAAAGAAAAAGAAGTGGATTTATTGACAATCAACTCATGAATATGCTAGTTGAATCAAGAAACAAATTATTTATTCTTAGCACATTAAAACACTTTTGGAACGATTTTGGTTGATATATCAACAAAATGAAGTTGATTCCATGGAAAAATTAATAAAAGACAAATGATTAGGGTTTATTTCACTAATCCTATCATAAATAGGTATTTAATCTCTTTATTCATTCATTCGTCTATTTTTTTTTGGAAAGGATCGAGTTTAATGTATCATTGAAGATAGCCAACTAGAAATATGAGTTTCAAGAAGTTGTATCCTTATGTATTTAAAGTAGTTGACTTGAACAAATACTGTTTATAAGTTTAAATGTTGAAAAATATCTGGACAGTATAGCCTAAAGTCTGGTATAAAGAAAGATGATGAAAAAAGTGTGTAGCTCAGGAGGATGGATTTATCGAAATTACGTTTGTCAAGATGGATAGCTTTGAGCATGAAGATATCACCATCATCATTTTAAGCAACGTAATCATTACAAGCTTAAGACAAAAGTAAGTTGTCAAATACCAGTATTATATATTTTTGTTTAGATCAATACACGTTCAACTGGGAAAATGTTGAAATCATTTTCAAAGACAACAATAATAAGGTTTAGACCTCAATGCCTGTCAGTAATCAGAAAATATTCTGAAGAAAACTACAAGGTTAAGACTTATGTAAAGATTTAATTTATTTATATTAGTTATTTAAATCTTCCCATTGATGTTTAGGAGTGCAATTGACCAGTCTGTTTTGGCACATATGCATCCTATGCAGATCGCTTAGATATTCTCATTGAGTTACAAGCATTGTAAACAGGGATGGATGATGGATAGCAGTGGAATCCAAGACGCGCCTTACATCGCATTCGGGACTCGTCAGCTTGATAGATATACCTCCAGGACTCGAATCCAGTACCGTTCGCTTAAAAAGCCATCGCGTTATGCGTTTAGCTGCTGAGTCCAGATAGCCAATTTTGTGTTGACAGAACAGCCGGTTAGTCAACTGTGGAAAAAAATTTAAATAGTCTTAATTGTGAACTTTTGTGTTGATTCATTGTTGTTAGATCTTTCTCTATCCCCAACTTGTTGTCACATAATTGTAGACTTGTTATTTTAATTTGCATCATGCACATTCTGCTTACAAATATAATCTATACTCTGTAATAGTCTTCTATTTAAGGTATATAATCACGGGTTTAAGTTTGAATAATACAAGATAATAGGATGGCTTTTCTAGTATTCTGGTTAATAGTTTCGGGGCAGGAGAGTTTCGCTTAGCTAACCGATCATTAGCAAAAACATTGGGTGACAGTATAATATAAGGACGAGCTCGACAATTGGTTCTTAAAATGACCACATGAACTTGAAGACATTTTTCAACTAATTAAAAGAGAGTATATATATAAATCAAAAGTATCTTGTAACGGAAGTAACAAAAACTGTTAAAATTTAATGGTTCAAAGGAGTTTGTTGACAATTCAAGGTTATTATCGGTTTTCCTATCTTAGTACTGCAGAAATATCATTACATAAATCTCATTTGTCTGAGTGAAAATACATTCAACATAAAACGTTCGTTTCTAAATTCAACTATAAAGGTATTTTGTAGAAAATACATTATTATCTACGGAGCTCTCATTCATAATTACAGAGATGGAATTCTAGAACAGTCATTGTCTCCATATCGGTATGAAGAATTGATTAGCGAAAATAGTTATCCATTTTAGTATTCTTACAAGCTCCCCTATCATTTAGTGTATTACTAATAAATTTTCTTTGAGAGTTTGCCTATAAATAACGTTAGTTGAACGCAGTAAATGATTAGTTCACATGTTGTTGTACTGGGTTACAGTCAAGAGCGAACACCAACTCTGTGATGCAGATACACTTGGTTAGTGAATTTTGAATAGAAAGAAACAAGCGTCCAAGCTTTCACTACTAACCATAATCCATCAGTGTTTTCTTTAAAAAAAACAGACTTACGTTTTAAAACAGCTTCACCAAACATAAGAAAGGGTCCAGCTTCAAAAATTAATCCTTCAACACCAATTTGAACAATAGCACGTCCTTGCAATAAAAGAATAGCATAATTTGACCATTGACCCATATGATACAAAGTATTTGCTTCATCATCTTTTGGACTAAAGAATCAAGAAAAACCGAACGAAAGATTTACAAAATATACATCATGAACTTATGGAAAATGTTATTGTTTTGATTATGATGTCCTAATAGTAACACAAGAACAAATAGTATGGACATTCAAAATTATCGAATTTTGAATGGGAACTATGTTATGATTAAACTTAATTTGAAGCTTGAACTAAGGCATTAAGCATAAAAATATCAATCGTATAGGAATACTGGTCTGAAAAGTTTACTCGTACTAATTCTTGTTCCGTATATTAAATCACTTGAAATTTATGCTTATGTATTGTGTTAACTGGGATTGTTTGCTTTTATGCTTAAGGCGTTAAACTGAACGCTTGTAAGCTTGAGAAGTCAGTTGTACACACACAGTATTTCATTGTTCTATGAAGTGTTCTTCCGCTTCAGACAAAAACAAAGAATGTGATATGCAAGCTGAATGAGTAAATATATATATAATTACTTATATGGTAAAGCAATCTCCTCAAAATTCACCATTAATTTGCTAACTGCGCACACAGTTTAACAACATTCCCCTATTTCATGAATCATTTGAATTAACTATGTGTGCTAAACTCAGCATAATGTAGTCACATGCACTTTCGTGAAAAGTTTAAACCATTGTTTTTCCAATACTTAATATTGAGACAATTCATGAATGAAAATGAAGGTTTTTTTATGTATTCTTGAGAAAGGTAAGAGGTCGTCTACTTATACACTGATGCATATATTGTATACAATAAAAAAGACATGTTGTAGATATACATCTAATCTGAAAGTTACGTGACGGTTTTTATGAAAGACTAACCATGGAGTAGAGAAGTCTTATAACTGATATATATACTGTTTACCAACAATTCACTCATTGATTTTCATGAAAAATTATTATCAACTATATTAATGGATGCAGCTGATACCCGTAACGAATAAGATAATAGTAATTCATTATCAACACAGAGAACAGATGATCAATACAATTCGATTTGCACTAGAGAACTAGAAAAAGAGGATATTTTGTATTACTATGTGATCAGTCAATGTAAATATCTTAGTTCTACAGGATATCAATCGTGGTTTGAAAAGCTCACTGGTAACGCTTCAGAACGTGAAGACAGATGACACAAGTTTGAATCCTATAGGGAATATCGGTTCCCTTAAAAGTGTACCTACACTTTAGTCAGAAGTACCAAAAAATACGAAACATAAGTCCAAAGTTTCCTTTCGTCTACTTCCAACTAACTAGTAAGCAACACACATTGCAGTTATTACTGATAGTATAATGCTAAAAGTTCGTAGAAAGAAAGAAACAATATGTACACTGAAAACACTAGCAAATCATCTACTTGGATATGAACTTCAGTATTTAAATAAATTCTATAAAATAAGTCACTTCAAGACATTTTAAACTATTAGTATTGTGTTCTACCATAGTGGTAGTCTAATTTGCTGTCCTACCTACACATTGGACATAAAATGAAAAGAAAATATTATCATTATTACCAATTTCTATAAATCATAAGCATATTTAATAAAATTATAAGGAGGAAGGTACTGTTTCCAAGCCAATATAAATCATATTATTGATCGCAAGAAAAAAGTAATTCATAGAGAATATAGACAAGATTATAGCTTATTTATCAAATACAAGTTTGTGTACTAGGTGTTAGAGTAATATTGTTTGTATTAGGACTAATGATAATCCTGAAATTAGTCGGTTGGAATTTGAACTTGTGACCTAATGAGTGGTAAATCATGTGTTTTTGGCCACTACGTTACAGTTTAATAGACAATATAAATAAAATTAAATGATTCAGAGGCTGATAATTTACATTTTTAACTTCAATTCACTATGTTGTGAAACTACCTTTTTAATGTCACTGATAGGTAACTGTCACATAAACGACGTAGTTGAACTCTGTTGTTTGTGATTTTTCACTAGAGCTCGGGAAAATATCTCTTGAGATAAGTCAGTGATAAGCCCATAATTAATATAAGTGGTATGAAAATTTGTGAAGATTGTTTACATTACAGACTGACCTTAGTTAAATAACTAACGACAGCTAGGAAGAACTGGACAGTTGTTGTGAAAAAATATGTAAACTTTTGGGTACCGACTCAGTGGTCTAAAGATCAAGTGCTGCGAGTCCCAAAGGTCTTGAGTTCGGTATCTGGATGGGGGGGTCATGAATCCATGTGCCAAGTTCAATGCCATAACGAAACAGTTGTCCAATGTTTCATGGTCTGTAACGATTGTCTAAAATCGGCTCAACATGTAACCCACAAAAGATTAAATCCATTATGTACGTAATTCTTTAGTATCATTGAGTTGGATCATAACAAATTCACATTTCCAACTGTAATCAGTTCACAATATCATGAGACTATCATTAATTGTAATTGGTGGTGCTTGTTTTCATTCCAAACAGTTGATTGTACTTTAGCAGTTATGACTTTGCATCTGAGCTACCTGATCCTATCATATAGATATTTCAACAACTTATCTGTTTTTGTTTGTTTTAACAGATCATTACGTTTATTAATCGTATAATCCTATTCAGGTATGTATATGAAAAGTTTACGACTTAGCGCTTTACAAAGTACAAAAAATACAATTAGAGACATTGTGGTGGCTAGTAATAGGCATTGAAAAGAATGAACATTAATTAGATGTGGATTCCTGAACTCCTAATATCTAACTGGCAATCATTAATTAACAAAGTGGACTATCTTCAATTCCTATTAAGTATAAACATATATCATTACTTTAATACTTACTTGTAAATACATTCACCAACAATATTTGCATTAAGGAAACTTTGTAGTACAGAATAACAAATATATTTCTCTTCAAATGATTTCACTTCTAAAAATTTAGAGAATCAAATAATTATTTAATAGACAAGGAATGTCAGCAATATAAAAAGTATTAACAAGTGTAGTAGTAAGGGAAAAATGGAACAAGAAAAAAATTTTAATGTAACTTTTTTGACTAAGATCATGAACCGATTGATGTTAGGCCACCGTTGGAAACCTGGAAGCATTGGACGGCCGTTTCTTCCTATTGTAGGACTCCTCAGAGCCTGGGTTCGAATCCCGTGTACAGGATCGTGAATGCGCAAAGCTGAGAAGTTCCACGAAAGGACGAAACGGTCGTCTAGTTCTTCCAGGTTTCCAACGGTGGTCTAACATCAATCGGTTCATGATCTCAATCAAAAACATAAAAATCACCACAACTCCTTCACTGTTAAATATAACTCATTTACTAGGTAAACATCTATGTACTAAGCTTTGAACTATACCACAGTTGAGTAAAGGTTAATGATCCTGTTAAAGCAGGAGGATAAATGATATGAATCTACATAATATGTTGATTGAATGTTGAGTATTTCAACGACTAGACTACATTACTTAACATATGATAGAATTAACAATATTAACAACAATGGAAAAGATTTATCTCTCTAGTGAGTGATTTTATTAAAAGTTAGTTCTTTGAATTAGATGGTTTTATTGATGATTTTATTTAAGAGAATAAACTGTGCATTTCAGAGAACATGATTTAAACAAATTCGTCCTTTTGTGCTATAAATATTATTTGTCATTTTAATATTATATGCGTGTAAAATGCTTTTTATTGTTTAAAAATTGGAGAATTTCTCTAAAAAGGTAAAGATCTACCAACGAGAACATGATTAAACCATTCAGCTGGCAGAAAACAGATTAGACGAAATATAAGTAGAATCATGAAAATAACATGTTGAGTAAAAGAGAACTTAAAAACATGAATGAATAAATAGTGGTATCAGCATTTTTCTCTAAGTAGCCAAATTATAAAACAGATGCGAATGAAGACATAGATTTATCACCTCACATTCTTATCGGCTTTAAAATACTTTAAAACTGAAGTTAAAGAAGCACTGAACAACTGAACAAATAGCACTTCAAAGGTTCAATCCAGCCTTCCTTCGAGATACTAACAAATTCAACGAATTCAAGATAACTCTCAACAACAGGTTCCAGGCCTTACAGGATCTACTGAAGGAAAAAGAAACTACTATAGAGGACAACTGGAAAGGCATCAAAGAAGCATTAACTTCAACGTGTCAAGAGGTTCTGGGCCTAAAGAAGCATTATCGCCATAAGGAATGTATCTCTATAGAAACACTGGACAGGATCAAAGGAAGGAAGAACAAGAAGACAGCAATTAACAACAGCCGAACACGAGCAGAGAAAGTCCAAGCACGCGCTGAGTACATAGAAGTAAACAAACACGTGAAGAAAGGCATTAAAGCCGACAAGCAGAAATACGTGGAAGAACTAGCAAAGACGGCGGAAAAAGATGCAAGAGAAGGAAATATGAAACAGCTTTACGATACAACGAAGAAACTATCAGGGAAATATAGTAAACCAGAGAGGCCGGTCAAAGACAAAGAAGGCAGGCCCATCACTGAAATTCAACAACAACGGAACAAATGGGTAGACTACTTCGAGGAACTCCTGAATAGGCCGGCTCCAATGAATCCACCGGACATCGAAGCAGCACACACAGATCTTCCTATAGATGTCAACCCACCAACGACGGAAGAAATCAGAATGGCCGTCAGACAAATCAAGAACGGGAAAGTAGCAGGACCCGACAACATACCAGCTGAAGCACTGAAATCAAACATCGAAGTAACCACAAGCATGCTTTACCCTCTCTTCAAAAAGATTTGGGAGGAGGAACAAGTGCCAATGGACTGGAAAGAAGGACACCTCGTCAAGATTCCAAAGAAAGGAAATCTGAGCAAATGTGAAAACTACAGAGGCATTACACTACTGTCAATACCAGGGAAAGTCTTCAACAGAGTTTTGCTCAACCGGATGAAGGATGCAGTAGACGCCCAACTTCGAGATCAACAAGCTGGATTCCGTAAGAATCGATCGTGTACAGACCAAATTGCAACACTACGGATCATCGTCGAACAATCAGTTGAGTGGAACTCATCACTATACATCAACTTCATTGATTATGAAAAGGCATTTGACAGTGTAGATAGGAGAACGTTATGGAAACTTCCTGAGAAGATTGTCAACATTATTTGAAACTCATACGACGGACTACAATGCAAAGTCGTGCATGGAGGACAGCTGACAGATGCATTCCAAGTAAGGACCGGAGTCAGATAAGGCTGTTTACCCTCTTTCTTCTAGTGATCGACTAGATTATGAGGACCTCGACATCTGAAGGAAAACACGGCGTACAATGGACAGCTCAGAATCAATTAGACGATTTGGAATTTGTAGATGACCTAGCCCTCCTATCCAACACACATGAACAAATGCAGATCAAGATAACTAGTGTAGCTGCAGCTTCTGCATCAGTAGGCCTCAGCATACACAAGGGGAAAAAGAAGGTCCTCAAATGCAACACGGAGAACACTAACTCAATCACATTTGATGGAGAAACGCTGGAAGGTGAAGAATCCTTCACGTCATCGATGAACAAGGAGGATCAGATGCAGACTTAAAGGCAAGGGTTGGCACAGCAAGGGCCACATTCCTACAGTTGAAGAACATATGGGACTCGAAACAACTTTCAACCAATATCAAAGTCACAATCTTCATTACCAATGTTAAGACAGTTCTACTGTACGGAGCTGAAACTTTGAGAACTACTATAACCATCATAAATAAGGTACAAGTATTTATAAATAGTTGTCTACGCAAGATACTCAACATTCATTGGCCGGATACCATCAGCAACAGCTTTCTCTGGGAGAGAACAAACCAGCTTCGAGCTGCAGAAAGAATTAGGAAAGGATGTTGGTAGCGGATAAGACATACATTACGCAAATCATCAGACTGCATCACGAGGCAAGTCTTAACTTGGAATCCTGAAGGGAAGCGGAAAAGAGGAAGGCCAAAGAACACATTACGTCGGATAATAGAAGCAGATATGAAAAGGATGAATAACAACTGGAAAGAGCTTGAAATGATTGCACAGGACAGGATTGGATGGAGAGTGCTTGTGGGCGGCCTATGATTCTCCACGAGGAGTAACAAACGTAAGGAAGTAAGCTATTATATCCATACTGTGTAGTAGGACTATAAGTTACTACATAGATACATCATGAACTTTAATGATGATGATGATGATATTTATGCTGCAACTCAGTAATTAAATATAGATTTGCATACTCGAATTTGAGACAAACATACCCTGTGATGCAAATGATAAATAACACATGGAATTACAAGTTTCAGTCAATAATTTAACGTTCAATTTTCTACTGCATTTAAGGAAATGAATGACTCCAGACTGTTGTTGGATTAAACTTGTAAGTTAAGTGGTTGAAATGAAAAAAATTTCAAAGGTGCATTATAAAATCACTTATGAGAAGTCGAGGTGATATTTAACAGTCATATGAGACGAGGCGATACTACGTGACTGCTCACAACCCGAAATACATGAACTGTAGTTTGAGAACCTACAACTAAATGGTTGACAGTTGAATGCTTGATCATGATCATCAATTCGCTGCTTCCTAGTGAATAACTTAGATCAGACTTCACCGTCGATATTTATTCATTTAACTATGTGCTTACTACTGAATCATTATGATAGGTATTTCTCGGAGTTCTGGTAAGAAGCGGTGACTAGTGGGATTCAAAGTGTCGTCAGTCATGTATTTATCAACCGAAGACAACTACAGATGTGCAATATCACAAAATGAATGAAGTTTGATACGTAGGTCATTTAATACCCAGTCAGTGGTTTAAGGATTAACTTCGAGATCTGAAGATACAATGTTCGACACGGGGAGGAGTTGAATATTAGGAAAAGACAGCTGTCAAATGCTTTTTAGTTTCCAATAATTGTCTAAATAAAGACAGTCCATGATGTAAACCACAAGAAAAATAATTGACATTTAGATATCTTAAAACTACTAATTACAGATTTACCAAACTTCTGTCATATTTTTCAACATCATAACATTAAATGTCTGATTACTTTGCAATGACCATGTTTAGTACAAGAAAACTATATAGAATCATTCATCCACCAAATTGATTTTTTGAATTTCGTTTGAAGAAAATAAGCCTGCAACAATTCTATCACTCTCTTAGTTGAACATCATGTCTACAGACCTCGACAGTATACAATAGTATAACATTTCATTTGATAGAAATTACAATAAACGAAATAACATTAAAATTCAACTACTGTTCTACTATTACAACTACTAATAGTAGTAATAGTAGTAAGTACTGTTATTGTTACAAAAATAGAAAATCACCATGGTAGTTCTATTGATCATGGAAGAAAAGATAGAAAAAGACAATGGGGTAGAAATTGAAGGGAGAAACTAAAATGAGGCAGTAAATAAGATTGGAAATGAACAGATATATAAACAGATGTACAATAACTCAAGGTAGAAACACAAACAAACAGAACAGTGACCAGATGGATACAACAAGCAGCAACTTAGAGAACGAAGAGAACATAAAATAAAATGAAAAACCAGTACATATTTCTTATTAAACAAAAAAAACACGAGTAGAATGACCTTATCACTTGAGAAAAGGCAAAAAAATTTCCTACAAGTGAAAAGTGGTAAATTATTTCAGGCAGAAGAAAACTTGGTATTGTGTATTACACAAGGAACAAAGCAACAAAAGAAAAAGAAAAGCACAAACTAACAACAACAACATATTGATTCGGATCGTAATTGAAACATTGGATGGATTGACGCAAGTAAGAATAAGAGACAAGAATGTATGGGTTGATAAAAATAAAACATAATCTATTTTAGTTAGTTATTATTATGATTACTATTAACTGCTTAATTAAGTAGTATAATGAAATAATGAGAGAGGCGT